AGCGGATTACAATGGATTTCATAACCAAATTACCCAAGACTTCGGGTGGTTATGATACTATTTGGGTAATCGTCGACAGATTAACCAAATCCGCACACTTCTTGCCAATAAAAGAAGCCGACAAGATGGAGAAGCTAACCAAAACCTACCTCAGGAATATTGTTAGACTGCATGGTGTACCAATATCTATTATTTCGGACCGAGATAGTAGATTCGCCTCTCGTTTCTGGAAATCTTTACAAAACTCTCTGGGAACCAGGCTGGACATGAGTACAGCCTACCATCCACAAACCGACGGACAAAGTGAGAGGATGATTCAAACATTAGAAGACATGTTGCGAGCTTGCGTGATAGACTTTGGAAAGGCATGGGATATTCATTTACCCCTTGTTGAATTCTCTTATAACAATAGTTATCACACTAGCATAAAGGCTGCTCCATTCGAAGCCCTCTATGGCCGCAAGTGCAGATCCCCTCTGTGCTGGGCTGAAGTGGGTGACACGCAGCTGGCTAGAGGTCAAACTCCTAACAATGCTCTCACTGGTCCGGAAATTATCCGAGAAACCACCGAGAAAATCGTACAAATTCGGGAGCGACTTAAAGCTTCCAGAGATAGACAGAAAAGCTACGCTGACAAAAGGAGAAAACCCTTAGAATTCCAGGTTGGTGACCGCGTCTTGTTAAAGGTCTCACCCTGGAAGGGCATGATACGCTTTGGAAAGCGTGACAAATTAAATCCAAGGTACATAGGATCATTCGGGATTCTTGACAGAATCGGTCCTGTAGCTTACAAACTTCGACTACCCCAAGAACTAAATAACATTCATCCTACCTTCCACGTTTCGAACTTGAAAAAGTGTCTATCTGACGAGACTCTTGTGATCCTACTCGAGGAAATCGAGTTAAACGAGAGCCTCAACTTTGTGGAAGAACCCGTAGAGGTTCTATACAGGGAAGTTAAGAAAACTAAACAAAGCCGTATCCCGATAGTGAAGGTTCGCTGGAATGCAAAACGGGGACCTGAATTCACTTGGGAACGGGAGGATCAAATGCAACAGAAATATCCACATCTTTTTCCCTAGTCTATCTGTAATGCTAATTTCGGGACGAAATTCTCTCTAACGGGGGGATAATGTAACAAACCGTTATTTCAAACCTATGTAATAATGTAGGTCAATTTGTAGTTCTTTTTAAAACAATAAAGAGAAATTTTAGCATACTGTGTATATTTACATAATTGACCCTCAAAAATAAATTATTAAACAATCTCGATTGGGATGAACCAAGTGATAGAGATTGTAACAAGGTTTCCAAAAACATAAAGAACACTAAAATCCGAGTTATAACAAAGAAGTTATGACCAATCGAAAATCTGCGACAAAACCGACAAAACCGACAAAACACTGTTCAGTGTAAAAACTAAATTTTCAATAAAAGGCTTTTAGCCTTAACAATATAAATGAAAGTTGTAGTTTATGTTAAACCGAGAACTTTCATAAAAAGAACGGCAAAATCTGACTTCGTATGGGGAAGTTACGATTTTTCTAAGTTTCAGTATACCAGTGTACAGCTAAAAACTCGAAATAAAGATCGAGTGATTTTTAGCCGACACAACCTAAACGAGAATTGAAGGTCTCGTCAATAGTAGTACAACGGTAAAAAGACAGACAAAAACGGACGTCGGATGAAGAAGTTATGAATTTTTAACGGATTTCCTGTCCCGGTCTGTTAAAAATAATAATATTAAAAATAAAGTCAAAATTAGCCGACGAAGTCTATACGAAAGTCGTAGAGTATAATTTTACCTACGCGTGCATATAAAGAACGTTGAAAACGGAGCTCGTATGCGAAAGTTATGATTTTTGCAAGTTTTTGGCACAAAAATCGAGAAATGTTGAAAACCGGGCAATTTCGCATGGCTGACCTTCGGCCACGTCACCTCGCATGCGAGGCTTCCCCGTGTCCGCTACGTGTCGTCTGCTGATTGGACCGAAGTCTCGCGTGGCGCCTTCTGATTCGACCAAGTCCGCGGTCCACTCACCTGCTGACACCCTCGCAGGAGACACCCCTCGGACCTTGTGGCACCTTCTCATTGGACCGAGGTTGGTCCACTCCGGATCCGACACCCCTCGCCTCGCTGTCTCGCATCCGAACTTCGGACTCGTGGACCTCGCTGCTGACGACGTGTGTTGCTGACTCACCTTCGGACCTGCACCCTCGCACCCTATATAAAGAGTGCGAGATCTCTCGGATTTTATGCATTTCTTTCACCTCTTTTCACCCTTTTTCACTCCTTTCACTTCCTTAAGCTTACAAACAACCCCCAAAGCCCCGGTATCTTATTTCAAACCTTAAGCAAGCCTCGAAGCCCCGAGATTCCCGAGAAGTTAACCTCTCTCCAGTCGAAACTCTGCTCGATTTAAGCCGGTTTTTGTCGAATAAACTCCTTTCCGGGAAACGAAAAGCTGCCCAAATCACCATCTAACAAGTGAGTTCATACCCCCGTATTTTCATAATTTCTACTGTTTTAAGGGGGGATACAAGCATAACACAAGAACTTTGTGTTATAAAAACATGATTTCAAATCATGATAAAACGACATTAAATCATTAAAAATACTCAAAACATTAAATTCTTTTATAAACTTATATTTTTCCCCAAAATTCATATTTGTATATATATATATATATATATATATATATATATATATATATATAAGATTTAAAAGGCTTAGGACTGATAACTCATTCTGGGTCCTTTTCTTTGTTTGGATGTGGGCTTATAGTACCAGTTATTTGTCCGAGTGTCGTTTAAATTTTACTTATATATTAAATTGTATATGTATATAAATATAAAAGTTATTTCATCAGTTTAAATACCTTTGTAACATGTTGAGCAAGGGATTACATGCAAACATAGTTAAATACCGATTCAGAAAGTACATATAAATTATAATAGATATAATTTATGATACATAGAACAATAATTCATGATTCAAGTATACTAGAATACACTATTTTACAAGAAACAAGGGTTTTGATTCAGAACAAACCAAGGGTTTACACTTGTCAAATACATGTTCAGAATACTAATTCAAGAACATAGTGTCAATCATTTATTTCAGAATGATTGGGTTTTCATGACTAATATACATGTAACGTTTATATGCTTTTTATGAGTCATTCAATTCAGGTTGTTTAATTCATTTAGACAACCAAGGTAAAGTCCTGACATTATAACCAGAATCTCCAGCCAGGGGATCGAAACAAGTTGTGTGTAGATCTATATCGGGATTGACAACCCCGCACTCAGGCTGCTAGCTACAGTCAGGCATACATGCCAATGAGTGACAATTGTTATCAACAGTTTAAACGCCCACAAAGCGTTTGTTTCAGGCCATCCTGTCATAGTATGGTTATAATAAATCATTAAAAAGATATTAACAATACGTTAATGTATAAACAACTAAACGAAAGTACACCTTCAAAGTACCAGTTTATAGAATACAAACTACAATGGTTCAATACAGTTTTCAATAACAGCTGGTGGAGCCAGACACACTCTCAGTTACAAGTATTACATAAAGGAATACAAATACAAAACATTGATTTACAAAGAGAACGGTTTTATGGGAATAAAACTACTTTTCATATACAACAGAAAATATAGGATTTTCTGGAACAGTTTTACACATGCTAGATACAGAGACACCCTTTCAAACATAAACACTTATGCACTCACTCAACTTTATGTTGATACTCTCTTTTCAAATTACTTGTATTCTTAGGGAAATAATACACAGGTACTCCCCGAGCTTTTTGAGAAGATGGAGCTATTTTGAGTCATATCTTCTTTTGTATAACTATTTTGGTTCAATATACAATGATTGAATACATGTAAATACTTATACTTTTTAAATACAATGGTTGTTTGTACTTTGATTACTATGATGCATGTGTTGTGATACTACAATTGAAGTCCTCCACCCCTGGACGTTTCCGTCGTCTGGTTTAGGGGTGTGACATTTTCGGTCCTAACTATTTCATGAAAGGGATTTCGGTTTTTGGTGGGATTTAATTCCAAAAACCGAAAACACAAAAGTGGGGTATAATTTATTATTAAATCTTAACATTTTTGATTTTTGTTATAACAATTGATTTTTATTGATCTGAAATAACCGGTTGTTACAATATATTTACAGATGAAGAAACTTATATAACGTTTTTATTGTATAGAAATAAAGAACATACATTTATCTAGTTAATCTAAATTTCTAGCAAAAACCTATGAATCAATTTCCTTTAAGTTATGTGACAATTAAATATGATGTGATTATAAGAGGTTAAATCGTTTATATTAATCATCATGTCACAGGCCATAATTGTTACACAACTTGAATGAAATTAAGGCTATAATGAGTGGGTCACAATGTTCTTGGTCAAAATATATCTCACATCAACGCCGTATCAGCTCCATTATTTATTTACTAATCATTATTCACATTAGGAAATACCTTCCACTTATATTGGTTTTTTTAGGTGTTTTTTTTAATCCAACAACACACAAAAGAAGGACAAAACCTTCTTTCTCTTGTAATCCTCCGAAGTCACAATATCACAATGTAGGGGAGATGTTCCTCCCATCTTTGCCAAGTCACCTTACGTGTCAGTCTCTATAAGATTTTGTATAGCCAAACTTGAATAAAATTAATTAATATGCTTTTACTTGATATTTGGATAAAATCAATGTGTAAAAATTGATTTCCTTTTTTAAATAAAAAATACATGTATTTTCAAATATTTTTGCATAATAGAGACTGTATTTTACTTTTACCACGAAGTATTAAAAGGTTTACATTTTGTTTATTTCAGTTATTTTGACAAAGTGATTAAACCCTAGGGGTAATATTGTTTTTCACCAAAGTACATGCCCAAAAAGAAAAGTTTAACGATGAAAAAAAAAATTATAAATTGATTTTCATTTAATTCATCTCTACCCTCACCAGTTTCACTCAATTGACTCAACGCTTCTCTCCTCTCTTTCTCAGGCGTACACGGACCGCCGGAGACTGAACAAACGGCGACTACCGGAATCAATCAAGCAAACGGGACGTCTTAATGCAAGGTATCAGTTTTCATTTCAGCCTCTCTCTACACCGTCAATCATATACTTTTGTTTTTGTTGTTATATCAAATCAATAATCAAGAGATTCGATCTTTCGGTTTCTTGGTTTCTTTTTCACCATTCCGGTGTTAAGATCTTCGATTACGCAACAATTGAAATGGGTTTCTTTAATTTTATTTACCGTTGAGTTTGAATTTCTTAGTATGATTCTCGATTGCCTTTCGGTGGCAAATCACAAATGTAGAAATAAGAAAATGTACAGTCAATTTCCTGTCATATCTACTTTTTTCCATTCACAAATTTGGCACTAAGATAATTCATACTCCATATTGAATCCGATGTCAATCTTTTCACGATAATCGGAAGTATAGATGTCAAATTCAATGTTCGATTTCAGTACTATCTACCAAATTCCATAGTTTACTCTAAACACAATGATTTATAAAGTTTTGAACATCACTTATCCAGACAATGGCATACACTGGAGGTGTACCCAGAAACGATCCAATGCAAATGAGTACTGCTCCAAGAAAACCCCGAATTCTTCTTGCATCTTGTGGAAGTGTAGCTGCCATTAAATTCGGCCATCTCTGCAGCTGTTTCTCAGATTGGGCAGATGTAAAAGCTGTTGTGACACAAACGTCTTTGACATTCGTCGATCTTGCATCAATTCCCAAAAACGTAATGCTTTACACCGATGAACATGAATGGTCCTCATGGTCCAAAATTGGAGACAGCGTCCTTCACATAGAGCTTCGTAGGTGGGCTGATATAATGGTAATCGCCCCATTGTCAGCAAATACACTCGCCAAGGTAAATTGAACCCTAATTTTCTTTTCATTTGAATTTGTTCGATCGCCCTTTTAATCTTGTTCGTGTGGATCCACAATTTAGATTGCTGGTGGACTGTGTGACAATTTGTTGACAAGTATTGTTCGAGCATGGGATTATGAGAAACCGATTTTTGTTGCGCCATCGATGAACGCGTATATGTGGAGGAATTCGTTTACAGAAAAGCATATCATGGCGATTGATGAATTTGGAATCAATCTTATACCACCTGTATCGCATGGGGAATCTGGAACTGGTGCAATGGCTGAACCCTCGTTCATCTTGTCAACTGTACGAATGTTCTTGGAATCACGAAGGAAAGCAAGTACCAGTAGTAGCAGAACATAATGATTTTTTTCTCCTTTTTCTTGATATTACCCTTTTTATGAACCTGGGTAGTGTTTGCTGAAAGATTTGATTTGATTTTTTTTTTCAAAGATGTAGATTTGATTTGATCATTGATATTGGAATAATTGTAAAGTGACTATACAAAGATGAAAATTTGGGTTCCAATTTGACGTACCTAATGTTGCACTCTTTTAATATCGTTATTTTAAAATAAAGATGAATTTGAACCGGTTAAACCGGGCCAAACATAATAATCCGGTCAAAGCCTGTCGAATGTGGTTTGGAAACACACAGTCCGGACCGATCCATATCCAAAAAAGTCTAGTATTGGATCGGTCCTATAAAAAATCAGGGTCCAAACGATTTGATTTTTATATGTATTATATTACAGTATTATATTATAGTACATAGTTGATAGATCAATCTTCAATGCTTTTCATTAAATAATGATTTGGACTTTTTTATTGAATATATCAAATTCTATTGGTTTTTCTTTCCCCCACAGACTTGAACCCAAACAAAATGACGCGAGCCCATTACAAATAAAAATTTAATATTAGATGCGCAGATAACAAATGTTTAAGAATAGTAGATAAGACACCAACACAAGCAAAGATAAGCAAACTGCACCATAACTCTTTACTTTTATATTATATTATATAGTAAAAGTACCAAGTCTAATAACAACACCAGCCTCAAAGAAAGGCCACTTTATCCTCTCTCTCTCTCTCTTTAACCATATATATATATATATATATATATATATATATATATATATATATATATATATATATATATATATATATATATATATATAAAGGGGTATATTCCTATTTCCTCCAATAGAAACTACAGTTTCTTTATTCTATAACCTAACATTTAACTTAAAAAAAACTACAACCCCTTTTTGTTTATAAAACTTATTACCTTTCTTATTCTTAAACTTATTTTTTTTTTTTGACCACCGAATGTCCGGTATCACGCTTGTGACGGCTAAAATCCGACACAAACCTAAATCTCTTTCCACATCCTTCTTCTTTACACAGATACGGGCGGGCGTTGGTATGGATCCTTATATGTTCGGTCTTGGCCCACTTCCATTTGAAGGTCTTGCCGCACCCAGGCCACGGGCATTGGATTGGGCGGTCAGCCAGATGCACACGTCTGTGCTGCAACAAGTATTTGTGTGAAAAGAATATCTTCCCACACCCCTCTACAAGACACACGTTCCTTTTATGAGCCATAGCCTCTTCCTTACTCCCAAACCTCATCTTACACCCTACAACATCACACCCAAATTCCCCCTCTTTCTCTTCTTCATCTTCATCTTCATCTTCATCTTCAGACACACCACCTTTCTTTGCTTTCTTCTGCTGCTGACTTTTTGTCATCCTTCTTCTTCTTCTTCCGGTTCTCGTTGGCCGATAATCGTCATCTGAATCCGAATCCAAATCCGAATCCGAATCCGAATCCGAGTCGGATTCTCTTGGTTTTTTGTTAAGATTCGGGATTGTTCCCTTTCGGAGGCTTCTCCTACGTGGCCGCCTCACACCACCAATCAGCAACGGTGGAGATGGCGATGCTGGTGGTGGTGATGGTGACGACTCCACTATAACAGCCTTCATCTTTCTCTTCCTGCTGTTTTCAATTTCCGGTTTCCCTTCCACCATTGACAAAACCGAACGACTGGTTTCATCGTGTTGTTCGAGATCTCTAACGACTAGCAATGGATGAACCTGATTCCACATCCAAACTTTCCCGCACCATTTTCCCGCAACCACGAGCTTCTTTTGCTTGCCGGATAGTTTTGATATTGTTGATTCAGTTGACGGAGGAGGAATACGTCCGATTGCGTTATGGATAACCGAGTTATATGGCATCTGTTTGGCATAATTCGGGGATTGACTAAGTCTAGCACTGTAGAAAATGTCGAGCCCTAACCTAACCACCCAATCCTGGTTACCATGTTCTGTTTCATCGTTATCAAGAGCCAATCGTATCTTCGCATTATCGTATTCGTTAATATCTCGATATCCGAGATCTGTCCAGTTTTGATAGGTTCCTAATTCTTTCGCCATTGATCTTGCTTCTTCGTCTATTGTTGGATAATCTGAAAACGATAAGAAACCCGTTAATAAATTCTGCAAATCGTTAAAACCATTCTTTTTTTGATTATCGGATACCTGGATGACAGAGGAGCAGCATATGCACTCCCCCTACAGACTGGAGACTTTTTTCGACTTCAAGAGCATGATCAAGACAGAAAATGTGCGTTCGGGAACAGTCTTCAGGATTTGTGTTGATATGAGGCTCTTCTATATATTCAGATCGACTCATTGAACCATCCGATTCTGTGAAATATTTGCTCGATTTAGATCTATCAGAATCATCTCTTTCCTCGAAATCAGAGCAATCTCCATAAGCTATTGCCACAAGCTTAAGAGCCGAATCAATTTCCTGTGGTTTTGAAACTGAAGTGGTACCCGAGCCATCATCTTCAGATTTGTTCGGAACATCAACCAGACGATCACAATCGCCCTTCAACACTTCCCGTTCTTCCATAAACAAATAAAAAAAATAACTCAGAAATCATAAGTTTATATTGAACAATTAGAGTTTAATTCATCATACCTGACGAGGATCCGAGATCAACCACATTTGTATAACTAGTAGCATTAGCAGCAACAAGACCATTAACACCTCGAGTTGACATGAGGTAACCTGCAGCTTCCTTTGATGGCTGAACGATTGCAACACAAGAATAACACAAAATCCCACATGTAACACAAGAGAATACACTTGCAGGATCGGGTTTATGGATCCCGTTTTTCACAATCACCATTTTCTTCTTTCTTGGTGAATCAAAGCTATCAAATGAAGATCTTCTTCTGCTTGAAGACAAGCTTTCATCATTTTGAATGCATAAACCAAGGGACATATCAGTACTCGAATTCAATGGAATCCAACTGTCTAATGCTTCTTCAGAAAGAACTGCAATCGGAGACCCTTGGCCTAAAAGATCAAGCAACTTGTTGTTTTTCATCATGTCTTGCAGAAAAAGTCTTTTTACCATTGCTTCTCCTTCGCCTTTCAACTTATCTTTCAGTCTGGAACTTCGAGGTTCAGGCCTGATGCTCTTTCGGCCACTGTAGAAGCAAATAAAACACAACATTTTAAAATTTTCTTATACAAATTAAGATCAAAATCAACCATTGTTGAAGAACAAAGAACAAACTTTGCAGACAGTGATAGTGCTAGATCATAATGTAGCTGAGTGTGAGACACCAAAGGAGCAAAATTAATTATAACCCTTCGAATTGCAGCGTCTCGTGCAACCATCAGCCATCCCGGGGTTGCAATATTAGTCGCTTCCGCACAGTTGAACCCTATAACAATAAATTAAAAAGTGAGTTTTTAATGTGTGCCCGTGTTATTCTTTCAGCAACTCTAAACTGGTCAACTCAGTCTAAAAATTGAGAATATCATTTTATTGTATATTTTAATATATTAATTCGTGTAACATAACCGATAAAGTTTCACAAGGAAGAAAATAAGGGTGTTTTACCATGACTAAAGCCAGAGTGATAAGCTCTAGGGAATGTGACGACGAATTCTCCAGCATTTTGCACCAACCTGAGTATAAATGTGTGAATTAAATGTAAATTTCTAACAACTTAAAGCATTAGCTATTAATATGCTAGAAAAAAACAAAAAACAGAATAAATAGCAATCAAATTTTATTTTATTTTCTAGCAATACAAAAACAGGATCACCTGCAGCAAGGAACACCGGCCTTTAGAAGAACTTCTGGAGACATAACTGTGTTCTTCTTTGCAAGAGTAGCAACAGTTTCTGAAAACAACACAAATAAGTGAATAACATAGAATTAAGCAACATAAGAAATTACAGAGCAAAAAAAAAAAAAAAAAAACAGGGGAGATTAACAAATTAATCATAGTTTAAGACATACCAATTGGATTAATCTCTCCACCATAACCATGTGCTCTGACCACATCCTCAAAAGCAACAGCAGCGTCCATGGGTACGCCATACCAGGTTTTGGAAGCACCCATATGCATGTAATTCAAGCTATGGAGGTCATGATCTTCGACATGCCAAGCAAACCAGCTAAACAGCATGGACATGTAAACCATGGGTGAATTGACACCAGATATTTCCTCCTTTATGAACCTCAATAGAGACCCTTTTGCTCTTGAAGCCGCATTCATATTCCATTGGCTCTCCGCCACCGTCATGACGTCACCAATTTCCTTCTTCCTCTGTTTCAACCCACCGACTGTTTGATCAAATGCCGATCCGGGCATGTCATTTGCGTACTCAATGGAAAATGGTTTGTCCATGTAAGCCTTCCAGTAAAGCGTCTCCACTTCTAACGCGTTCAAGCCCCTCTTCGGATTTGATCCCTTCTTCAAGTAAATTTTCTCGAAGCTTTTGGCTTTGGCTTCAAATTGGGCCAGAGTGTAGTGCTCCCTGCTCTCCCAAACGGATTTCTGAACAGGTCGGAAGTGCTTACGTGGGCAAAAACCAATCTGCTGCCTCCTGGTGGTGAATGTAGGTGATGAATCAGGGTTTTGGGAAGACAGAGACTCATTTAGGTTCGAAATTATGGTTTTCTTGGGCGATGTGGAGACAGGTGGGATGATTTTACAGATTCCATACTTGGAAGCTTCTTTTTCGATTTTGAAAATGTATGAAATTGGATCCTGAAACTCGGCTACGGTTGGGTGGTACTCTGGTGCCAAGGGCAGAGATTTCAACCAAGGAAAAACCTCTTCCCCCATCAAATTAACAACCAGTAGCTATAAATTTAGGGAATAGGAAGGTGTATAAAGAAATGAATGGAGGTTGAATATAGAAATCGAAAACAGAGAGAAGAACTAGCAATGGGCCATTGCTGTTGCAAAATTGCTCTCAGATTACTCTCCCACTCTGTGTTTTTCTGTCTCTGTGCTTTCAATTTGTGGTGCCTCTGTTCACTTCAGGTTGGGTATTTATACAGGGGAATGGTGGAAAACAGGGGGCAGATGAATGAAGTGGTTTTGGGAAAAAGAAGATGGTTTTTCACTTGAATTCTTAAAACTTGAATGCTACAGATGGAATGAAGTCATCAAAGAAGAAATTTGGGTTATTCTTGTAGTACGTGTCACATTTACAATGTCATTTGCTTCCAAGTAGACACTTTGAGGATCAAAATTTCATAATTTCACGTTTAATGTAATTTCGTCATCCATCTAAGGTTGTTGATGAGTTGTGAATCAATAAAGATAAGGAAGAACCCACAACCGATTGAATTTGTTAGGATGGATAGATGTTATGATTACAAATACAATGCAATTCTTGGAAAAGAAAATATAGAATTGCTAAAAAAACCGATACAAAGGAAGTTGCTCTAATTAAGCTTTTGATTTTGATTCTAATGTACACGATGATGAACAATTTGTTTAGCTATTGAGAAAAAATAATGAATGTTTTCAAGATTTTCAATCTATTTTATAAACATAATAAATGTAAGTAAGATATATGTCAACACATTGTGAAAATAAAAGGCATATGTGTCATGTTCTATATTTTATGGGGTTTAACTTTTATGGTTTGCAATAATTTTCCAATAATATAAATGATAACTATAAGTTCTTGAAAAGATATCAATACCTAATAACAAATTTTCTTTTTAAACAAAAAATTGTCAAGATTAGTTAAATAAATGATGGCCAGAAGTAAATATGAGTAATAAGTCATTTAAAGTTTTCATGTTAAAGAATGGGTTTGACACATAGACCAAATTTAATAGATGATTGTCTTTTAAAACATATAAATATTATAGGTTTTAAAAGTTTAAGCCAAAAGAAGAAATAAAGTAGATTAAAGAATAAGTGACTATATTCCTTGGTATAAATCCATGGATTGTGTGTGGTCTATATCATCATTTGTGTGACTTTTGTAGAAGTATACCGTATTCATTCCTCCTTTTGATTATCTACAATGTAACTTTTTCTTAATTTTATATGTTTTTAACTGTAAATAGGAGAAGATCTCGTAAAAGCTTATATTGCTAATCGTAATTGTTAAGGCTTCATTTGTAATACAATATATGACAATACTGAACTTTGTATAATGTTTTGACGTGCATTGGTGACGGTAATGTTATCAGGAAAAATTCATAATTTTTGTCCTACAAACTGATGTGGAACAAAGATATGCTTTTGATATCTCATTTGTACAAAAACATAAATATCCTACTCGATCTCATCATCGTAAATATCCATTCATACCATGTATAAAAATTGTAGCCAAAGAGTTTAGATATATTTATCATAGTAAACAAATCGTTTATATTGTTAAACTTGTGTGGATATTGTGTCGATGTCATATGATTTTAGAAAATCATTCTCTGTCGGGTTTTAAGTTTTTCTAATGGACGTCAGTCAATACGTGTTTACATCATTTTCTTTTGAAGACAATTAATTCTCCGTATATACGACATGTTTGTGGATATTTAACTGAGGTTAACCATAAAGTTGACGCAATATACCATGACGTATGCTTGTGTCGAATAGTTAGTTATTAATTTTTTCTATAATTGGGCATTAACAATCATGCAATTTGCTCTTTACGTAAAAACTAAATTTTCTATCTACATGTCGTCTCTTTCTCACGCGTTTCTTTTATGAAATCTTTGCCGGTGGAATGATTATTTCTTAAATTGGTTTTTGAACATGATTGTTATGTGTTTGGTCTCATCTTTTTATGGTTTCTTGAGTACTTTCTTCATCAAGTTTCTTAAATCATTTTAGGGTTTTGTTGCCTCTTTGCCAATGAATTCGATCTTTAATTTTATTCAAATACGCCATGTAACGCCCACGTTTCCAGCTAGGCTTAGTAATCAAACATGTAACCTTTATGGTCAAGTCATGTAGTCATTTTGTGAATTAATAAGACAAGATTATTCATAAATTTTGTGCTTATGTGTTTTGTATGATATTAAGATATATTATATAATAAAATAAATAAGATTTAAAATACACGTCAAAAATAAAAGATCACTTAGAGAAAATAATCTCAACCTAGTTATTGTATTTCTAATTAGGATCCCGTACATATCAGGAACGCCTCAATCCGACTTAAAACGAAGAAGTTAGGAAGCGCCAAAGTCTTGCGATAAAACTGACACGACTACGGATAGCGTAAAAAGTGAATTTGGGTTAGATTGCCTTTTAGCTTAGGAAGTCTACACGGAATTCATAGATGTCGTAAAAGCGAATTCGTGCTTATAGGTATCGTCTAAATCTGACTTCACTAGAGGAAGTTATGATTTTTCTAAAATCCGGTGCAACAGTGTGCACCGATATCGAATTTCAGATCGATAGATTGTTAGCCAAAACAATCAAAATGAGAGTTGAAGATCTCGTTGTTAGGATTCCAATGATATAAAAATCATCGTGAACAGACGTCAGATGTGAGATTTATGCATTTTATATGGGATTTAATAGGCTAAGCATGTGTAAATAAAATAAAGTCAAAATTAGCCGACGGAGTGTAAAGGAAAGTTGTAGATCTCGTCGAGAGCTTTCCGTGGATATAAAGAACGTCAAAAACATAGCTTGTATGAAGGAGTTATGCAATTTTGAAAATCTAAAAAACGTCACACGCGCGAAGTCAGCCACGTAGCCCCACCCAGATCGTGTCATGTGTCGGCAGCCCAGTGGATCGATGTCACCCTTATGCGCAATGCGCCTCCTATTGCACTGTGCGCAAGACTCCAAACTCACCTATAAATACCAACCCATTCTTTCACTCCTCCCCACACCCTCCAATCGATATCTTTCTCAAAATTGCGATTGTTAGCCCATTTTTTCTTCATTCTAGCCTGCGGCGAAGCCCTGCAACACCCTCAAGTGCTCAGCTTGCCATAATCTTCGTGTAGGAAGGACCTAAGTAAGTATTATGCCCGTTTAGATCCCGATTCTAATCTATTGTACTCTGTAAGTGAGCTACACTTACTCTGCCCCTGTGTAATTTATAATTATAGTTGTAAGTCGTTACTAGGATCTTATAATTAAGATTATCAACGATTCCAAGTTGTTATGTTAACCTATCTACTATAAGAGAGGTGTATAGAATTGTCACGTCGGCTTGGTTGTTGGATTTCAGAAAGACTATATGTCGAAATAATCCTGCCTCGCGACTGTCGTGCCTGGCTTATCCGTAATTGTTTGATCTTGAAGTAGACTTTGGAATTGTTGAGGAATCTAAACTCTTAAGATAATAGTTCCACGTAGTATGAAACTAGACTAAGACGTAGCGTTATATACATCTAGGTATTTCGAGAAAGGTGTAAGGCGAAGCTCTGCCCGATTCACCAAGCACCAGACACTTTGTCAGGTGAGTGCGTAGTTATTATCAAGAACATAATCTTAACTTAAAAATATCCATATAATAAATGTTGCTTGTATTATCTGTGTTGTGTGCTATTTGTAAAGATAAGATAGTAACATTTGGATTAGGAATTGTTGTAGAAATCAATTTCCTTTAGGTATAGGTCTTGCCTTAGATTAAGAATAAGACTTATAAAGGATTGCTAGTGTCGAAACATCGATTAGGTCTTATAGTTGGGTTAGAGTGTGGGACCAGATCAGAGTGTAATCCTCCCCGTCTTGGGATGACCAGAAATGGTGGGTCCCGATCAGAGAACAATATGTCTGGGTCATCGACCAGAGTAGATGACCAACACTTGGCTGTTCTAGGCGGTCTTGTGAATTATATTGCTAGCATGGTTTTATAACCCATGGACGTATATGAAATGGAAAGCCATATTCATCAAAATCTTTGAACATTGGTTGCCTTATATGACTTACACCAGCCAAGGACTCCCCTAGTAGCAGTTGCTTAGATAGTTCATCCGGTAAGGTGATTCTTCCAGATGATTGTCAAGTTAGGATCTGTGAGGATTGGTTGGGATTGGGTAGATGGTCTTAGGACAAGTTATATATTTACACCTGATATATGTCTTGCAGGAATGATATTTTATCTATAAAATGCTATGAGCTTGAAAACCCTACGTATCTCACTAGGTTTCCCAAACCTGACGCACTCATTTTATTGCATCACACGTAGTGGAGCCAAAGTTGAAATTGCCTAGTTAGGGTGCTGAGTGGAATAAATGATTGGCTTGTTTTAGTTATTTCAGGACCTTTTTATTTACGTTGTAACGTATGTTCGGATATAAACGAATGACATCCCGAAGGTTTTAATAAAATAACTTTTGTTATTTCAAATATGTTTATTTAACTGGGAACTTCCGCATTTCAATACTTAAAAGCGTAAAGAAAAATTTTAAATTGGTTCTGAAAAATGGGGGATGTCACACGCCACCATCGAGATAAGTGGCCAACATAATGGTTTTCATAGTAGTGTCTACAAAACAAAAGCCAAAAAATTGGTAACATTTCGACACCCAATGGAACGAAGATTTTATTTTTCAAGATAAGACATAAAGCAGCACGTAAGGATGTGGAACGTGATGTTGGAGTTCTAAACTCCAAGTGACACATATCGGAACATGTGACACATCCATATCTGATAAAACTTTACGATATATTACGATAAAAGGCAGAGTATTTCACAATATTTACGAACAGAGCCCCGACACATGCAGTTTGTACCATGTTTAACATAATATTTGCATAGAGTTGTTGACATTCAAGACGAGCAAATCCACGAGCGGCTTCAACATGACTTGACCGATCATATTTACGACGCTAACGATGATGACGATGAATAT